CTCTGCAGCTGCTCCACACACACACACACACACACACACACACGCTCTGCAGCTGCTCCACACACACACACACGCATGCTCCCTGCAGCTGCTCCACACACACAAACACACACACACACACACACATGCTCCCTGCAGCTGCTCCACACACACACAAACACACACACACACACACACACATGCTCCCTGCAGCTGCTCCACACACACAAACACACACACACACACACACATGCTCCCTGCAGCTGCTCCACACACACACACACACACACACACACACACACACACACATGCTCCCTGCAGCTGCTCCACACACACACACACACACACACACACACACACACACACACACACACACACACACATGCTCCCTGCAGCTGCTCCACACACACACACACACACACACACACACACACACATGCTCCCTGCAGCTGCTCCACACACACACACACACACACACACACACATGCTCCCTGCAGCTGCTCCACACACTTAAGTGCGTGTGGCGAGAGGCGCGTCAAGTGCGTCACGCTTCACGCACTTCACACACAACTCTCACTACTCCAAAAACTGAACGTTACGGTGTTCCGGGCTACCAGTCCAGGGCCTTGGTGTGGACTGGACCCTCACCAGTCCACACCACTGGACTGGACCGTCACCAGTCCACACCACTGGACTGGACCGTCACCAGTCAACACCACTGGACTGGACCGTCACCAGTCAACACCACTGGACTGGACCGTCACCAGTCCACACCACTGGACTGGACCGTCACCAGTCAATACCACTGGACTGGACTTATGTGGTCCAATGTTTCCAGCACCATCTGGTGTTGCTGCTCCAGGGTGTTCCCTGGGCAACACAGTGTGCCGTGGGCAGCCTCACCTTTGTATTGGTCTTTTCTAGAACAAATTCCTGCAACACCTGGAAGACACCGCCAGCAACACCTCACAGACACCCATTACGACACTTGCAACACATCCCCTGTAACGCTAATGCAATACTACCCACACCGTCAGAAACACATCCCACACAACACAACAAGTCAGACACCTGCTTAAACACCTGCAAAAACACCCTCCAACCTCGACTGAATAATACCGTTCGCAACATGTGTGTTTGAGTGTTCTGCATCACCCACCTTCGGTACTAAAACATGTGTTCTATTATGCAACACTAACTTTCTCTTCTGCAACACTGTGAATGTACTGACATTGAGACGACTCTTTTTCGAAGCTGATTTCAGTACTTAGTTTTGCAGTAGATCTGAGCTGGACGGCTCAATTGCTAAATGCTCCTTAATACAACCACTACTCAAGACAGAAACATACTGTTTCTGGTATATGTAAATGATCTCCCAGAGGGTATAGATTCGTTCCTCTCAATGTTTGCCGACGATGCAAAAATTATGAGGAGGATTGAAACAGAGGATGATAGTAGGAGGCTACAAGATGACCTGGATAGACTGAGTGAATGGTCCAACAAATGGTTGTTGAAGTTCAACCCGAGTAAATGCAAAGTAATGAAACTAGGCAGTGGAAACAGGAGGCCAGGCACAGGATACACAATAGGAGATGAAGTACTTAATGAAACAGAGAGAAAGATCTAGGAGTTGATATCACACCAAACCTGTCTCCTGAAGCCCACATAAAGAGAATAACGTCTGCGGCATATGCGAGGCTGGCTAACATCAGAACGGCGTTCAGGAACCTGTGTAAGGAATCATTCAGAATCTTGTACACCACATATGTAAGACCAATCCTGGAGTATGCGGCCCCAGCATGGAGCCCGTACCTTGTCAAGCACAAGACGAAGCTGGAAAAAGTCCAAAGGTATGCTACTAGACTAGTCCCAGAACTAAGAGGCATGAGTTATGAGGAAAGGCTGCGGGAAATGCACCTTACGACACTGGAAGACAAAAGAGTAAGGGGGGACATGATCACAACCTACAAAATCCTCAGGGGAAACGACCGGGTAAACAAGGATGAACTATTCAACACTGGTGGGACGCGAACAAGGGGACACAGGTGGAAGCTGAGTACCCAAATGAGCCACAGAGACGTTAGAAAGAACTTTTTCAGTGTCAGAGTAGTTAACAGATGGAATGCATTAGGAAGTGATGTGGTGGAGGCTGACTCCATACACAGTTTCAAATGTAGATATGATAGAGCCCAGTAGGCTCAGGAATCTGTACACCAGTTGATTGACGGTTGAGAGGCGGTACCAAAGAGCCAGAGCTCAACCCCCGCAAGCACAATTAGGTGAGTACAAAAAAATACTCCCTTGTTTTAATACTGAAAAAAATATTTGACACGTGACTTACGTTCGAACATGTAATGAACAGGGCTTCGGTCTCTTCCTGTGTTCGAATCGCAGCTCTCTAAACGCTTCAGCCGTCTACTGCGACTCCACACAATTGCCAGCTGAACCAAAGCCGTGGTGAGAGTTCAACCTGTCCCAGGCTGAACTGGAAACAGTCAGGATATAACGATTTAGATCCAGGATTGAGCAACATTAGCAACTTGGAACTCTATAATACTTTTTGCGCTACCGCTCACAGGATGAGTATGGGGTGCACAATAACCACAATATAGAGTGAAACATATGAGAACGCAAATTGTTACAAGGTGAGTTAGATCAACGTTTAATATGGACAAATGCAGTTCAGTGCTGACACTGGCAGGAGTTTAAGCCTAGGGAATAATGATCAATTTGTTGAAGTTATCAAATGTAAATATGAGACAAGTTTGGGTGTCACGATTTGTTGGGATTTTAAGTAAATTTATATTATTATTATTATTAATATATATTTACCCTTTGTAAGACACATTCCTCCATGTACTTCAGTCATGTCACCTTTACTCTTCGTCTTTCTAGAGAAGGTAATATTGTTATATAAATTCCTTCATAGGTTTCTAATTCCTGGGCTTAACAATGTCATTCTTGTGTGTCTGAGATAAAGATAACCTGCGTCCGGTCATTAGTACGGAGACCAAGACTAAACTACCTAATTTAAACAAGGCCTAACAAGGGCAAGATGAAGCTGAATAATATTATTAGATGAATTATTGAGAAGGTTTAAAAAATATATATATGAGAGTATCATATTTCCTTAATTCAATAAATTTAGCCAAAAAATCAATGTAGTTATGCATTGATTTTTTGGCTTAAGCTTTCCGCTGATCATGGCAACTATTTTTTCAGCATTTTGATTTTGCAATTTCAACATTGTCCGGTTGTCACCTGGTAACGCAATTACCTTGGCTCAGAACTCTGCATTTTTCAGCACTAAACTGAATCTGAAATGTTTCATTAATTTTAAAAGCCTAATTAAATCTTGGATTTTAAATTTTGCCCATGTATTTCGCGCCCTATTTACACAGCGTCTGCATCCTTGTAAATGTTATTGACTTCTGCGTCTACCTTTATGTAGATGGTAGATGGTAGACGACCGCGGTCCCAGGAGGCACTTAAAACAGTTTACCACTTGGACTCCATCAATGCTAACTCTCCGCCTTCTATGGAGTAACCCAACCCTCGTCTAACTTAAGCTAACCATCACATCAACCCGAGTGCCTCTAGCATTCTAATATACCTATCATCAGGCGCAGTACCAAACGCAACAGTTTGTAGAGGGATTGTGAGTATAGACTCGACCAGTTTCCTACAAGAGACGTTAAGCTATTTGAATGATGTTGTTCAATCCACACATTAGAACATGAAGGGACGACGACGTTTCGGTCCGTCCTGGACCATTCAAGTCGATTCACAATCGACTTGAGAATGGTCCAGGACGGACCGAAACGTCGTCGTCTCTTCATTTTCTAGTGTGTGAGGATTGGTCAACATACTTCAGCCACGTTATTGTGACTCATCGCCTGCATATTTGAACGATGGTATGATGCAAGTGATTTTATCTAAATTTTTAAGAGTCAGTACAACATTTGTAACCCTCCACGACTCTGCTCGACTATAATGATTGATTAAATATGCAAGACAATAACTCACTTAGCTTTTCTTTACATTCTTTAAGCACCCTGGAAAATACTTTACCCGGTCCTGGGGACTTTGTAGTCTTCAATTTTTCAATTTGTTTATTAACTTCCTGCCAGGTGAGCAGCAGTCACCTTCCCTCGTCACTACCAACGTAGACATGATCAACTACAATGTTAAGTTCTATGGTAAATACGGAGACAAAATACTTATTTAAAACACCACCTCTGTCATTTCCAGTTCCATGATCTGACCTCTTTACCACTGACCCGATCTCCGTCCTAGATTTTGCTCGATATATCTCAAGGACAAAGATCAGGATTTGCATAGTGATATCAGAAGAATGTGATGTATCCGAGAAAATATTGAGGCCAATGTGAAGATAGTCCACAGACACGAGATCGATCCCACTGCATGACTCCATCCACTTTGTCTTGGTCCGCCCGGCTACATATATGCGTTTTTAATCATTTCTTCCAGCTTATTTATATTTTAACATGTCTTACTAGTCTGAAAATTGCTGTTAAGGACGAACTTCGTCCATTTTTAAGTCGTTTGAACACAACGCTCTTATATATGAGGTTGTTTAGTGTCAGTTATTGTTGTCAATGTTTAACCGCAGTTAGGTGATGTAGTTCAGTTGTGGGCACCGTGTTATAGTGGGCCCCGTGCTATAGTGGGCACCGTGTTATAGTGGGCACCGTGTTAAAGTGGGCACCGTGTTATAGTGGGCACCGTGTTATAGTGGGCACCGTGCTATAGTGGGCACCGTGTTATAGTGGGCACCGTGTTATAGTGGGCCCCGTGCTATAGTGGGCACCGTGTTATAGTGGGCACCGTGTTAAAGTGGGCACCGTGCTATAGTGAACACACACCACTACAACATTCACAGAGAAGGATGACGAAGTTAATCCCTTCAAGACATATTAAAACAAGGCTCAGTTTACTTGCTGTTGACGGACGAGGAGTAAGAGGTGACGAGGGTGACGTCTATGGCTGGGTGACAAGACATGACAACCAGAGTACTAAGGCAAAACTTTAGTGCCTACAGTAACTATGCCTACAGCTACTATGCCTACAGTTACTATGCCTACAGCTACTATGCCTACAGCTACTATGCCTACAGTTACTATGCCTACAGTTACTATGCCTACAGCTACTATGCCTACAGTTACTATGCCTACAGCTACTATGCCTACAGCTACTATGCCTACAGTTACTATGCCTACAGCTACTATGCCTACAGTTACTATGCCTACAGCTACTATGCCTACAGCTACTATGCCTACAGCTACTATGCCTACAGCTACTATGCCTACAGCTACTATGCCTACAGTTACTATGCCTACAGCTACTATGCCTACAGCTACTATGCCTACAGCTACTATGCCTACAGTTACTATGCCTACAGCTACTATGCCTACAGCTACTATGCCTACAGTTACTATGCCTACAGCTACTATGCCTACAGCTACTATGCCTACAGTTACTATGCCTACAGCTACTATGCCTACAGCTACTATGCCTACAGCTACTATGCCTACAGCTACTATGCCTACAGCTACTATGCCTACAGTTACTATGCCTACAGCTACTATGCCTACAGTTACTATGCCTACAGTTACTATGCCTACAGCTACTATGCCTACAGTTACTATGCCTACAGCTACTATGCCTACAGCTACTATGCCTACAGCTACTATGCCTACAGCTACTATGCCTACAGCTACTATGCCTACAGCTACTATGCCTATAGCTACTATGCCTACAGCTACTATGCCTACAGCTACTATGCCTACAGCTACTATGAATGATAGTACACAATATAGACTGAACCCCCCCCCCCTCTGAAACTCCATGTTTTGTACTATTGACTTCGAAAAAAGGGGCAGAACACTGAACTATGCTAAGGTCTAGTGGAGTAAATATATGTACCAACCGAAGCCTAAGATTAGGTAAGTTAAGCCTGGGAGTGTTTATTTACACCTGTGACTGGGTAGGTTATGATTCTACTTTTGGGTATGTACGATATTCTACTTTTGGGTATGTACGATATTCTACTTTTGGGTATGTACGATATTCTACTTTTGGGTATGTACGATATTCTACTTTTGGGTATGTACGATATTCTACTTTTGGGTATGTACGATATTCTACTTTTGGGTATGTACGATATTCTACTTTTAAATGTACGATATTCTACTTTTGGTTATGTACGATATTCTACTTTTGGTTATGTACGATATTCTACTTTTGGGTATGTACGATATTCTACTTTTGGGTATGTACGATATTCTACTTTTGGGTATGTACGATATTCTACTTTTGGTTATGTACGATATTCTACTTTTGTTATGTACGATATTCTACTTTTGGTTATGTACGATATTCTACTTTTGGTTATGTACGATATTCTACTTTTGGTTATGTACGATATTCTACTTTTGGTTATGTACGATATTCTACTTTTGGTTATGTACGATATTCTACTTTTGGTTATGTACGATATTCTACTTTTGGTTATGTACGATATTCTACTTTTGGTTATGTACGATATTCTACTTTTAAATGTACGATATTCTACTTTTGGTTATGTACGATATTCTACTTTTGGTTATGTACGATATTCTACTTTTGGTTATGTACGATATTCTACTTTTAAATGTACGATATTCTACTTTTGGTTATGTACGATATTCTACTTTTAAATGTACGATATTCTACTTTTGGGTATGTACGATATTCTACTTTTGGGTATGTACGATATTCTACTTTTGGGTATGTACGATATTCTACTTTTGGGTATGTACGATATTCTACTTTTGGGTATGTACGATATTCTACTTTTGGGTATGTACGATATTCTACTTTTAAATGTACGATATTCTACTTTTGGTTATGTACGATATTCTACTTTTGGTTATGTACGATATTCTACTTTTGGTTATGTACGATATTCTACTTTTAAATGTACGATATTCTACTTTTGGGTATGTACGATATTCTACTTTTGGTTATGTACGATATTCTACTTTTGTTATGTACGATATTCTACTTTTGGTTATGGCCTTTGAACTTCCAATAGCATTTTTTTATCCATAACATTCTACATGTTGAACATTCGGCCAGTAGCAGGCAGCTGTGTTATCAGGTTTGGAGCCTGGGGTTGAGCCCCCCCCCCCCCCCCGCCCCCCATCACATACATATATACCTATTAGATCTTTTACTGACACCTATGGAGACAATGAGCCACAACAACATGGGTGAACAGTACACACCCAGCCCCCCACACACCTGAAGAACGCTTCAGGTGTGGGGGTTGTGATAAAGAGACCTGTCACTGTGAACGCTTGGCCGTCACTGTGAACGCTTGGCCGTCACTGTGAACGCTTGACCGTCACTGTGAACGCTTGACCGTCACTGTGAACGCTTGACCGTCACTGTGAACGCTTGGCCGTCACATGACAGGTACTGCAACTATCGTGCCTCTGCCCCGTCCCAGCGGGCGACGTTGACTGAACGATAAGTTGTCGTTGCTCTCGGTTTCGGCCCCGGACGGACCGAAACGTCGTCGTGGCTTCCTATATGTTCAGAGGCGTGGGTCTCATAGTCCCTGAAACCTGTTCAAGTGTTTGCCTCGATATAACGGCAGTCTTATTCCACAACACTGTTCTCAAACCAGTACTTAAACAAATTACCCGACAACATAATTGTCGTCCGCTCGCCAGATTGTTAACCCAAGCACTTGGGCTGGACGGTAGAGCGACGGTCTAGCTCGGTGCAGGTCGGCGTTCAATCCCTGACTGTCTAAGTGGTTGGGCACCTTTCCTTTTCCCCCGTCCCATCCTAAATCCTTATCCTGACCCCTTCCAAGTCCTATATAGTCGTAATGGCTTGGCACTTTTCCCTCATAATTCTCTCTCTCTCACCAGTGTGTTTTCAAGCTCAGTTTACATACTGTAAATGCTACTACATATTTACATGCTACTAGGTACGACATATATACATATGTCGTACCATATATACATATATATATATGTCGACATATATACATATGTCGTACCATATGTATATATACATACCATATGTATATATACGTACCATATGTATATATACGACATATGTCGTACCTAGTAGCCAGAACGCACTTCTCGGCCTACGATGCAAGGCCCGATTTGCCTAATAAGCCAAGTTCTCCTGAATTTCAATATTTTTCAAGTATTTTTTCTTATGAAATGATAAAGCTATCCATATCATTATGTACGACTTAATTTTTTAAAACTTGAGTTACAACTAACGGAGATATATGACCGAACCTATCCTAACCTAACCTACCCAACCTAACCTACCCAACCTAACCTACCCAACCTAACCTAACCTAACCTACACAACCTAACCAAACCTAACCTACCCAACCTAACCTAACCTATCTTAACCTAACCTAACCTACCCAACCCAACCTAACCTAACCTACCCAACCTAACCAAACCTAACCTAACCTAACCTACCCAACCTAACCAAACCTAACCTACCCAACCTAACCAAACCTACCCAACCTAACCAAACCTACCCAACCTAACCTAACCTACCCAACCCAACCTAACCTAACCTACCCAACCTAACCAAACCTAACCTACCCAACCTAACCTAACCTACCCAACCTAACCAATCCTAACCTACCCAACCTAACCAAACCTACCCAACCTAACCAAACCTACCCAACCTAACCTAACCTATCTTAACCTAACCTACCCAACCTAACCTACCCAACCTAACCAAACCTACCCAACCTAACCAAACCTACCCAACCTAACCAAACCTACCCAACCTAACCTAACCTATCTTAACCTAACCTAACCTAACCTAACCAACCTAACCTATTAACCTAACCTAAACTAACATAACTAAATCAAAAATTTATGTTCTTAATATAATATAATAAATATATAAAATAAACGAACTGGAAACATTTTATTGAAAATAAAGAAAATCACTCTGCCTATTAGGCAAATCGGGCCTTGCATAGTAGGCCGAGAAGTGCGTTCTGGCTACCAGATACATTATATATATATATATATATATATATATATGTCGTACCTAGTAGCCAGAACTCACTTCTCAGCCTACTATGCAAGGCCCAATTTGCCTAATAAGCCAAGTTTTCATGAATTAATGTTTTTTCGTCTACCTAACCTACCTAACCTAACCTATCCTAGCTTTTTTTGGCTACCTAACCTAACCTTACCTATATATATAGGTTAGGTTAGGTTAGGTAGGGTTGGTTAGGTTCGGTCATATATCTACGTTAATTTTAACTCCAATAAAAAAAAATTGACCTCATACATAGTGAAAAGGGTAGCTTTATCATTTCATAAGAAAAAAATTATAGTAAATATATTAATTCAGGAAAACTTGGCTTATTAGGCAAATCGGGCCTTGAATAGTAGGCTGAGAAGTGAGTTCTGGCTACTAGGTACGACATATATATATATATATATATATATATATATATATATATATATATCGTGCCTAATAGCCAGAACCGTACTACTTGGCCTAGTATCCAAGATGTGGACTGCCTTCCATGGGCCAATATGGCTTCAATAGTTTCGTTGATCTTGATGTTCTAACGAAGCGCTTTAATTCTCTGCGTAATTACCCTATTACCGCCCTCCCTCCCAGCACCACTGGGACCAATGGGTCGAAGCTCAACTCCCACAAATACAACTAGGTGAGTACTGCTTGTCCCGCCCCCCCTTCCAGGTGACAGCGTAGCAACAGTGCACCAGCGAGGCGGGAGAGAGAGAAAAAGAGAAAGTGAGAGAGTGAGAGAGAGAGAGAGAGAGAGAGAGAGAGAGAGAGAGAGAGAGAGAGAGAGAGAGAGAGAGAGAGAGAGAGAGAGAGAGAGAGACAGAGAGAGAGAGAGAGACAGAGAGAGAGAGAGAGAGAGTAACGTTGCTATGCTCACCGCCATCAACCTTTCACTTTTTTTTAGTTTCCCTTTTGTTTAGAAGCGTGCAGACGGCCGCTGCTGCTGCGTCCCAGACGCTTGGCGTAGCGTCTATGTTCCACGACTGTCTCAGGTGGACTCTCACTCCCTCTTTCTCATCTTAAGGTTCTCATATGGAGATCGCATGCCTTTGTCGGCCCAAGACATACTCGTTAACCCAGTGTGTATATATATATATATATATATATATATTATATATATATATATATACTTACTGGGTTTGCATGTTTAGTACAATAAATACATGTATATATACACATATACATGTATATATACTAGGTTAGCATTATATATATATATATATATATATATATATATATATATATATATATATATATATATATATATATATATATATATATATATATATATATATTCATATTCATATACACACACACATATATGCGCCTTTTCTGCACAATTGATGGCAAGCCATATCAGGGAAAGAAGGGCTCAATTCGTAGTTCGTTTGTTAGTTTGGAATGAAAAATACATTGATGAGGCAGAGCGCCAGTGTTGGTGGGAATGGCGGTAACGTTCGTAATATTAGCGTCGTTACTAACGAATCGTTGTTAATTAGTAACGATTCGGTGGTAAATGATAGTAAACATACAACATGGCTGCCGTGGCGAGTGTGGGATACGTCATTGTTGAGCGCGCGGCCCACGTTGTGTGTAAGTGGGTCAGTGGGTTAGTGTGAGAGTGACTAGACCGGGTGGTGGGTGTGTGTACGAGCCACGCACTCACGCACACACACCCCTCCCGCTGCTTCACACACACATACACACACACACGCACATACTCACACATCTACACACACACACACACACGCACGCACGTCGGTTACCTCAGAGCTAACATAGACCCCGTTACGGCGCGATAATTTAGGCCAAGCCAGCAGTTCTAACTTTCACTCTTTACTGGCGCTCCGGAGCGGGCGGGAGGAGACCACAGTGTGCCGAGGGAGCCAACAGTGTGTGTGCTGCTGCTGCTCACAGCCATGTGCGCTGTTTCTGCCGTGTGCTCTCCCAGTGCTTGCTATATTACACCTTACCAGTGAACCAGTGATACCAGTGATACTCTTTAGTGCGTACAGCTCGCCTTATAGCTGTGAATTATTTATTTTGTGAGTGTTTTGTGCGAGAATGCTCTCAGAGATGGAGCTCCCAATATCAGTGCATAACTTCAACTTGTCCCCCCAGTTCGGGCAGTTGACGATTTCTGCCGCTCCCATGAGTGTAGACATGAGTGGTCAAGGTGTGGGTATACCCACGAGTGCCTTCTCCCCCACATACACACCCATTACCTCAGTTGGAGGTGTAGTTAACTCCAGTGTATCAACCAACACTATTACCAGTAATGTTACAACTAACAATAATAATCTGTTGACTCCAACTCTAATGGACTCTGGTTTGTTTCCCGGGGTAGCCACCACGACCCTGGACTACGGCTCCCTGACGGACATGCCAGACACCAAGGAGGGCATCGAGGAACTGTGTCCGGTGTGTGGAGATAAAGTGTCCGGCTACCATTATGGACTGCTCACTTGCGAATCCTGCAAGGGTTTCTTCAAGAGGACGGTACAGAACAAGAAGGTGTATACCTGCGTGGCCGACCGATCCTGCCAGATAGACAAGACTCAGAGAAAACGCTGTCCCTACTGCCGCTTCCAGAAGTGCCTTGAGGTGGGCATGAAACTTGAAGGTAAGTGTGTGTGTCTCTCTCCTGTTTGTCCTCCACTCCCATAACACACTCAGGCATTTGTTGTTGCGACACACACCACACCACACCACACTTCAGCATTCAGTAGTGACGTCTCGCTCTACCTTGGGGCACTTTACTAGGTACTCTAGGCGTGTGGGGACTCTGCCTGCCTGTGGTGCTACTGTGTACTATGCCACTGATACAAAGATACAGGTACTACTGTGTATTAAGTATGCCACTGATACAAAGATACAGGCGCTAGTGTGTATTAAGTATGCCACTGATACAAAGATACAGGCGCTAGTGTGTATTAAGTATGCCACTGATACAAAGATACAGGTACTAGTGTGTATTAAGTATGCCACTGATACAAAGATACAGGTGCTACTGTGTACTATGCCACTGATACAAAGATACAGGTACTAGTGTGTATTAAGTATGCCACTGATACAAAGATACAGGTGCTACTGTGTACTATGCCACTGATACAAAGATACAGGTGCTACTGTGTATTAAGTATGCGACAGCGAGTGCTGTAAAAGACTAGAGTGGTGGGTGCTGTTCTACATAGAAATGCAATGCAGATTCTGGCTTTTACTTTTGTGTGTCCAGCAGGTACACGTCGCACTCTGGACCTTTTGTGTGTCCAGCAGGTACACGTCGCACTCTGGACCTTTTGTGTGTCCAGCAGGTACACGTCGCACTCTGGACCTTTTGTGTGTCCAGCAGGTACACGTCGCACTCTGGACCTTTTGTGTGTCCAGCAGGTACACGTCGCACTCTGGACCTTTTGTGTGTCCAGCAGGTACACGTCGCACTCTGGACCTTTTGTGTGTCCAGCAGGTACACGTCGCACTCTGGACCTTTTGTGTGTCCAGCAGGTACACGTCGCACTCTGGACCTTTTGTGTGTCCAGCAGGTACACGTCGCACTCTGGACCTTTTGTGTGACCAGCAGGTACACGTCGCACTCTGGACCTTTTGTTATCAAACAATATTTCCTGGGGTTTGGTCTCTCATGTGAAACAATTTAGCTTTTGAAAAAGTTTTGTTATCAGCAAACAAGAAAAACAAACTAGTGGACTGTGAACCCGTAGACTGTGAACTGTGAACCAGTAGACTGTGAACCTGTAGACTGAACCCGTGTACTGTTAACTGTGAACCCATAGACTGTGAACCTTAGACTGTGAACCCATAGACTGGACTGTGAACCCGTATACTGTGGACTGTGAACCAGTAGACTGTGAACTGTGAACTCGAAGACTGTGAACCCGTAGACTGAGAACTGTGAACTTGTAGACTGTGAACCCGTAGACTGTGAACTGTGAACCCGTGGACTGTGAACCCGTAGACTGTGAACTGTGAACCCGTAGACTGTGAACCGTGGACCCGTAGACTGTGAACTGTGAACCCGTGGACTGTGAACCCGTGAACTGTGAACCCGTAGACTGTGAACTGTGAACCCGTGGACTGTGAACTGTGAACCCGTAGACTGTGAACTGTGAACCCGTAGACTGTGAACTGTGAACCCGTAGACTGTGAACTGTGAACCCGTAGACTGTGAACTGTGAACCCGTAGACTGTGAACTGTGAACCCGTAGACTGTGAACTGTGAACCCGTAGACTGTGAACTGTGAACCCGTAGACTGTGAACCCGTAGACTGTGAACTGTGAACCCGTAGACTGTGAACTGTGAACCCGTAGACTGTGAACTGTGAACCCGTAGACTGTGAACTGTGAACCCGTAGACTGTGAACTGTGAACCCGTAGACTGTGAACTGTGAACCCGTAGACTGTGAACCCGTGGACTGTGAACTGTGAACCCGTAGACTGTGAACACGTAGACTGTGAACTGTGAACCCATAGACTGTGAACTGTGAACCCGTTGACTGTGAACCCGTAGACTGTGAACTGTGAACCCGTAGACTGTGAACTGTGAACCCGTAGACTGTGAACCCGTAGACTGTGAACCCGTGGACTGTGAACTGTGAACCCGTGGACTGTGAACTGTGAACCCGTGGACTGTGAACCCGTAGACTGTAAACTCGTAGACTGAACAGTGAACCTGTGAACTGTGAACCCGTAGACTGAACAGTGAACCCGTAGACTGTGAACTGTGAACCCGTGGACTGAACAGTGAACCCGTAGACTGTGAACTGTGAACCCGTGGACTGTACTCACCTAGTTGTGTTTGTGGGGGTTGAGCTCTGGCTCTTTGGTCCCGCCTATCAACTGGTCCCTGTAGACTAAGGACTGTGAAGGCCCGTGTGGTGTACACGCACAGGCGCTGGTCTACAAGAGACCTCTGGGTATACAACCTTACCAACTCTCACACCAAGAGTCTGGCCAAGAGTTTACCATTCACACATGTGTAGTGGTGCTGGTGTAGGTTACACTTGTGTTTTGGTCTACCAGATGGGGTAGAGGGGTTAAGGGGGTCCTGGTGAGGCGATGGTAGGTAGTTTTATTATTGGGAAGGGTGTTTGTGGCACAGGTTGTTGTGGTAGTTGTTGTGGTAGGTGTTGTGGTAGGTGTTGTGGTAGGTGTTGTGGTAGATGTTGTGGTAGGTGTTGTGGTAGGTGTTGTGGTAGGTGTTGTGGTAGGTGTTGTGGTAGTTGTTGTTGTGGGAGTCGAGTGGCGGCCGACCACCTGTAGCTCTTCTGGGGCACTCTCCTCCTCCACCACCACCACCACTGCCGCCACCACCACCACCTTCCTTCCTCCTCCTCCTCCTCCTCCTCCTCCACCACCACCACCACCACCACCACCACCTCCTCCTCCTCCTCCTCTACCACCACCACCACCACCTCCTCTACCACCACCACCTCCTCCTCCTCCTCTACCACCACCACTACCACCACCTCCTCCTCCCTCCTCCACCACCACCACTACCTCCTCCACCACCACCACCACTAACTCCTCCTCCCTCCTCCTCCTTCTCCTCCTCCACCACCACCACCACCACCACCTCCTCTACCACCACCACAAGACAGCTACAACAATCAACAGCACAAAACCTTTGCAAGTGGATATAAGTGGACCATTAACACCAGAGGTACACACAAACACACTAACGTGGCAGCAAATGGGCACCATTAGAGCGACTAATAACCCCAGGCCAGATGTGGACCGTGCAGCACCGGCATGGAACCCAAACATTGTGAAACTCAATTTATTGTTTTGTAAGTATAGAGGTTAAGAGCAAGACTTGTGCTGAAGCTAAGAGGGTTAAGACTATGAGGACAGGTTCAGTAATCTTACAACCTTGGAGGAAAGACGAGTGAGAGGGGACATGATCACAACATACCATAATGGTGGAATTGGCCAAGGTGGCCAAGCACAACCTCTTTAAACTGAGAGAAAGTAGGCCAAATAGGCACAGGTGCAAGATGAAAAGTTCAATGTGTGGATGAGATACAAGGAAGGACTCGGGTGGCCAGTAAGTGGAGTGCTCCTGAGAGAAGTTGTGGAAGCCGCCTCCCTCCTGTGTTGGGACCAGTTGTGGGGGTGTTGTTCTACCAGTGGTGCTCCGCCGGCCTCCTGCTCTCTCACTCTCCTCGCTCGCTCTCCCGCCTCTCTCTCTCTCTCCCGCCTCTCTCTCTCTCTCCCGCCTCTCTCTCTCTCTCTCTCTCTCTCTCTCTCTCTCTCTCTCTCTCTCTCTCTCTCTCTCTCTCTCTCTCTCTCTCTCTCTCTCTCCAACCACAGTGCCACCACCACCACTGCCAACCACAGTGCCACCACCACCACTGCCAACCACAGTGCCACCACCACCACTGCCAACCACAGTGCCACCACCACCACTGCCAACCACAGTGCCATTAGTGTTTTATCTTTACACGTTATCTCTTTCAAATACTTACTATTTTCTGGCACTACTTCCTTAACTACTGCTTCTTCCTCCCCTACAACGGTGCCCTGTGACGCTCCCTCAGTCACCCCTGTGACGCTCCCTCGGTCTCCCCTGTGACGCTCCCTCAGTCTCCCCTGTGACGCTCCCTCGGTCACCCCTGTGACGCTCCCTCGGTCACCCCTGTGACGCTCCCTCAGTCACCCCTGTGACGCTCCCTCAGTCACCCCTGTGACGCTCCCTCAGTCACCCCTGTGACGCTCCCTCAGTCTCCCCTGTGACGCTCCCTCAGTCTCCCCTGTGACGCTCCCTCAGTCACCCCTGTGACGCTCCCTCAGTCACCCCTGTGACGCTCCCTCAGTCACCCCTGTGACGCTCCCTCAGTCACCCCTGTGACGCTCCCTCAGTCACCCCTGTGACGCTCCCTCAGTCACCCCTGTGACGCTCCCTCAGTCACCCCTGTGACGCTCCCTCAGTCTCCCCTGTGACGCTCCCTCAGTCTCCCCTGTGACGCTCCCTCAGTCACCCCTGTGACGCTCCCTCAGTCTCCCCTGTGACGCTCCCTCAGTCTCCCCTGTGACGCTCCCTCAGTCTCCCCTGTGACGCTCCCTCAGTCTCCCCTGTGACGCTCCCTCAGTCACCCCTGTGACGCTCCCTCAGTCACCCCTGTGACGCTCCCTCAGTCACCCCTGTGACGCTCCCTCAGTCTCCCCTGTGACGCTCCCTCAGTCTCCCCTGTGACGCCCCCTCAGTCACCCCTGTGACGCCCCCTCAGTCACCCCTGTGACGCCCCCTCAGTCACCCCTGTGACGCCCCCTCAGTCACCCCTGTGACGCTCCCTCAGTCACCCCTGTGACGCTCCCTCAGTCACCCCTGTGACGCTCCCTCAGTCACCCCTGTGACGCTCCCTCAGTCACCCCTGTGACGCTCCCTCAGTCACCCCTGTGACGCTCCCTCAGTCTCCCCTGTGACGCTCCCTCAGTCACCCCTGTGACGCTCCCTCAGTCACCCCTGTGACGCTCCCTCAGTCACCCCTGTGACGCTCCCTCAGTCACCCCTGTGACGCTCCCTCAGTCACCCCTGTGACGCTCCCTCAGTCACCCCTGTGACGCTCCCTCAGTCACCCCTGTGACGCTCCCTCAGTCACCCCTGTG